GGCCGCCCCCGGCCCCGGCGACCCTTGGGGGGCCCCCGGCAGCCAGCAGGAGGCGCCCTTGGCCAACACAACCGCTTCCTCCCAGCTACCGGCGGTCCCGCTGGGCTTGTAGAAGGAAGTTCCCACCTTGTTTGCTCCGAGGAGCCGAGGATTTGGGGTCGGGCTTTGGTGTCCAGGGGGTGTAGGCTCGATCCCGGGTAAGGAAGGGGACCTCGGTGCGACTGGGGGTCCCCTTCCCTTCCCCTCGGGGACCAGTCAGCTTCCCTCCACGCAGGTGGTGTGCGTGTTCAAGATGGAGAGCGTGGCCCCCAAGGCCCCCGCCGGCGAGGGTGAGGAGGCGGAGTCCAACTCAGTGGAGTCGCTGGGCTTCTGTAATGTGTGAGTCTGGGGACAGCCCCTCTTCAGTGCTAGATCTTACAGGAGTTGTTACAAACGGATCCGTTTCCATCTCTCGCGCTCGTTCTGCTGCATTTGTCTCACCTCCGTCCTCCCCAGCTGGCTGTGGAGATCCCGGGTCACTTGGGTGCGACACGGAGGACAAGGCACACCAGCTGCTCAGTCCTCCCCCCAATCTGTTGGGTTTCTGGCCTAGCCTGATGGACCACTGTTTGGCTGGGAAACCTTCCAGACACGGCTGTTGGGGATCTTTCCTACCAGGACATTGTCTCCCTCGTGAACCTTGGGCTGGTTGCTGACTCTCACTGTCCTGTTGGGTTTCCCGAGTGGGGTGTTTTATGGCTCCGGTCATCAAGTTGCCCCTCATCTTCTCGATAAACTGTAGCTCTCAGCATAGGGTTTGCCTTCAACCTTGATCCTTCACGCACTTCCATCCCTGCTTCCCCATGGCCCACATAATGCCTGTTCCGCTCTCTGCAGGATGCCGCTGGCCGCTGTGGGCTACCTGGATGGCACGCTGGCTATCTACGACCTCTCTACACAGAGCTTGAGGCATAAGTGCCAACACGAGGTACTACCCTACCCCCTCTCCCTAGGCTGGGGCGGGGAGGAGGGAGGGTGTCTGGGCCCATCTGAGACCTCCCCTGGAGCCCAGGGGCTTTCCTGGGGCCAGTTCCCAATTTGTGCTTCTCCCTCAGCCCCTTGGGCTTCCCCAAAGGCAGCCGCAGTCCTTGCACAGAGGATGTGCCCCATAGCTTGGCCCTGGCTGCTGGCTCTCTTATCTGTGAGGATGGCAGATAACACTAAGGGGGGCACGTGGGGGGAGCCGAGACTTACTGGGGGTCCCTAGCGCTCACCCTCTGGCCTCCCCCTGCCCCAGTCGGGGATTGTGCAGTTGCTGTGGGAGGAGAGCTCGGCCGTGGTGTACACCTGCAGCCTGGATGGGGCCGTGCGGCTCTGGGATGCCCGCTCGGGGAAGATGATCAGCGAGTACCGAGGGCACTCAGCTGAAATCCTCGACTTCGCCGTCAACAAGTGAGCGGGGACCCCCTAGACCCCCTTCCCCGATGGGTGGAGGGAACAGGGGTGGCAGGGGCTTCCAGCCTCAGAGAAACTCGAATCACAAGCTGTCTTTCCTTTGGGTGCCCCTGGGGTCTGGTCCCAAGTGGGGGGACTCAGGTCTGTGCTGAGACTTGAGGGTCTCAATGGGGAGTGGGGCAGATCAGAGCCAGGGGCGTTGGTGAGGGATGCCCAAAGCCACCAGCGCCATCTCTGAGCCCTGTCTCCCCCCAGGGATGCCTCCATTGTGGTGACGACCTCTGGCGACCACCAAGCCAAAGTGTTCTGCGTCCAGCGCCCCGATCGCTAGGAACTGTGCTGAGGGACAGTGTCCTGGCTCTGCCAGGTGGCTCGTGTACAGAGGGATGAGGGAGAAGGGTTTCACCACCCTTCTCCAGTGCGTGCTTTGTAATTTTCCAGCCTGCCCTGCTTTGCCCTCACCATCTGGGGGCCAAGCCTGGGGTTTTGTATGAAAATGTCTTATAATTATATAAATTATTTCACTTAACTGGATGCTATCCACTCTGCTTGTTGGGGGGAAAAGGACCTGGGGAGCTGTGCTCCCTCCCTCCTCAGGGATCTCCCCAGCATCCAACCACAGCCTGAGGGTCAATGGCAGACGGTTTTATGCTGGTCTGGGTGGAGGCAGAGACCCCCATCCTGGCTCTCCCTGTTCAGGGGAATGAGGGGGAAGGGTGCAGATTGCTAGCCAAAGGTAGGAGAATCCTGCTTTGTGCAGCCCAGGAGGTCACTAACACAACAGACTACTCCTAGACCTGGGCACAGCACCCCCACTTCAGCCCCCAAGACAGAGATCACCAGAAGTAACTTGCTCCGGGATACAGTGATTATCCCCCTTGCGCCTGTGACTCCAACCACCCCTTCCAGGGTGAGGCCACACGCATTGACAAGCAGAAGCCCCACAGCCCCTTAAGATAGAAAGATCTCCTTTATTCATGAACCCCAACAGTATTTCTTCAGATACAGGAGTTTTGAACTCAAATACTCAGAAGAAAACAAGTTAATATTGCATTATTCTCATAAGAAATACTGCAACTTACTTATTTCTGGTAACATATTGCAAAGCGAAACAGCTTGAAAAGAAAAAAAAAATTAAAAAAGAAAAGAAATTAAGTCAATCAAACTGGAATTAAGGTTTTGTTTCTTGGAACGATCGAGTCCTCGCAAGCACAGCTCGTTTCTGCAGATTACTCCCCAAACTGTCGTACAAACAGACCCCGATTGCTTGAATTCCTTATGAGCCCACAGAGGTGCAACATTAAAAGCTACAATTATTGGGTAGCAAGTGCCCCAACCTTCATCCTCCACGGCAGCCTCAACGACCCTGGCGTTAACGGGTTGTGAACGTCTTCCCCCTGAAAGGATGCAGAGAGGTCAGCACAGCCCCGGCGCTGTTCTGGGGTGCCCCAGGGTGGCTATGGGGCTTTTGGTGGGGCACGTGCCTGCACCCAGCTCTCAAAGCCAGGCAGGCACCGCTGGTTCAGAGCTCGCAGGCATTTGTGGCTGCAGAACCAGGCCACGGTGCTGTGGGAAGGGGTTGGCTTTCACAGAGGGGACAACCCCACTGCCCCGGAGCAGAACACAAAGGGGACATGCCAGGACGCACAGAGAAAGGACACCAAGGGGCTCTGGGATCAGCAGAAGGTAAAGGACCTGAGGGAAATACGTTCATGCAACTGCTTTCCTCCACCCACTTCACTCTGGGCTGCTTTATTCACAAGAGGGAGCCAGCCAGCCAGCGCGGCGGCCTGGCAGCGCTCCTGGCCCCAGCCATCTGCTGACCAAGGGCAGCCTGGGGCTCTGAGGAGCTGCAGATGCACCGGGCAGCAGGAACCTGCTCCAGCGCCCGCAAACCCACAGAAAGGACCTGGCCACTCTCCCCCATGAGCTGGAGCTGCCCCCAGAGCCAATCAGCCAGCTTTAATACAACAGGGGAAAAGCCCCACAAATGCCACCGCGGGCTCGGGGGGGGACAATGGAGACACCAGGGCTTGCAGAGCCATGTACGAGCCTTCTTTCGCAAAGGACCTGCCGGCACAGGGTTTGCCACAGACCCAGCTCCTACAAAGGACACGTGAGGCAGTAAGCGAGTGCGGTGGAGGGAGCACAGGGGTCCTGGGAAGCCAACACACCCTGATCCAGTCTTTCGCCTCAAAGCACCCAGGCAAGAACCTCACTATGAAACACCCCCTTTCTCTCTCAGATGGGGTCCCAGCACATCGGGCCCTGGTCTGGTCACCCCCACAGCATCCCAGTCCGGATGTACGCCAAGCTGAGAAGGAGCGAGCTCGTGCCTGGCAGAGAAGCCCAGAGAGCCGGGCCCCGCTTTACTACTCACGTGATTGTTTTCATTTCTTTCTTCTCTGCTTCTGG